GAAAGTAACTGGTGGCAGGTTCCTGTAAACATAATACTGGGCCTAAAATTTTGGAAGTTTGTTGAGTAGCTGGTGATGCGACAACCTAAGGAAATGTGCTCAAAATTCTGTTCCACCATCGTATCGGTTGCTTTATGTAGAAGTTGCAACACCAAAATTGTTGTATCGCTTGTACCATTTGTCATTATGCTATTTATTTAAATAAATTAACAACCAGAAGAAAAAGAATCTTCTTTGTTATTTCTTCACGTAGCTAATGTATAGTAAGTGTTATCAGATTTTCGAAATTATTTGGCAACAAGACTGGTGATAAAACCGGACGGTGAGTCAGTTCCAAGCACTTTATTTTCTCACAACTAATTTTTTAGATCTCAGTATTACTCTACCGTCTTCTTATTCTTCAAACTGATCGCTTTCAAGAGTTTTACCACAGAATTATGCAAGCTAAAGGATTTCTTTAGTATTTTTATAGAGAGCTGTTTATAAGGACAAGGAATTGAATGACTGGCGCAGGCCCTCTGATGCGCCGTGCGGCCGGCTACATCAATACCACGCGATCAATATGGGCGCCGGTGGCGCAGGGAACTAAACAGTTGGTTCAGAGCCATCCGGGCCGCCACTCGATCATGCAGCCACCGCCGCGGAAGGTGAGTAAATTTTCGTATTAGGCACAAACTGGGTCAATTGCGTCCTTTTCAGTTCACACTTATTTTATATTGGACGTACTGCTTGTTGTGTTATGAACGTGAGACGTCGTAATACGGCGGAAGGCTGCATTCTTTCATCCCTCTCCGCGCCCTGCTCTGTCACATTAACAAGAAGTTTTTATACTGCAGCTCAACAATGGGTTTCATGCAACCTATTTTCATTCCCCACTAGCTGTTGGATTTGTATGGATTATATGCCGCTGGCCACATACCTCGTCTTAATGAAATACCCCTCCCCCCTCGCGCTTTCAAAATTCTTGAAATGAGCATTCCCAGATCTCGAATAATTTTGCCAATAATTTATCCATCTTTGGCAAGCTAAAGGAACTCTTAGGTCGCTTCTAACCTTTGAATGTATCACATTACGGAACTGAATAGCAATACGAAGTTCTGAAATGGTTCATGCAAGATTGGTACGTCCGTTTATGGGTAGTAGAATTGGGAACGGCTTCCGATACTACTGTTTTCCATCTTTTAGTCATAAGTTTGGAGATCTCTCTTCAGTACCACAGTTTGCCGAAAGACGTAGCTAGATCAGTTGTATCCATATTTCAGGGGAATTACGCCAAGTTCCTGAAGAACTTACATTCAGAGCAAGTGACGAAGCTGCAGGCCAAAAACCATCACGAATGTGAACTGCTGGAGGACATTCGGTGAGTACGATGAAAACAGTATAACTTTGACTGTTGGGTAAAGAATAAAGTTAGTACCGGCTGTTTCGCGAAAGGGAATGTTCATTCATTCAAAGAGAAGGCGGACATAACACCACCTTTTTATGGGGACATTTTGATCACTTTCTACTAAATTTTTGTTCCGAGCCCAGAAGGGAAACAAACGAAAGAAGCCCGTGGGGGGAGGGGGGGGGATGTAACTCGGAAAGGATTCTTTCCCGGACCTATGTCCGTTATTCTTTGCCGATATTTAAACGTGATATTCATTGAACATAATAAAACAGAACGACAATACAAACTGTGAGTCACATTTAACAGTGATGTATGGTCTGAAGCTATCACGGCGAATAAGTGTTAAGAACTCTTCTCGGGCTACCAGCATTGTTAGGCGGTTGAATGGAGCAGCGTTTCGAGAACAATCTTCGTCGTCCTCAGGATAATGAAGTTCTTCTCGGGCCTAACACGGCTGGTTACCCGAGAAGAATTGATTGTACGCAACAGTGAGTTTCTCTTTTACTTTGTGGAAAAAAATATCCCTGGGGAATCCTTTTGTAGCGCCCTCTGAATCGGACCTGTAATTTTACTGTTGCCATCAGTGCTCCATCGTCACATCACGTAAATCAGCTGTTCATTTATTCTATGGAAACGTGGATCACCAATTTTTAGATTAGCTGTCATCTCTATAAATGTTTTGCAACCATGCATCAAGTCGAAAATGCCCAATGGGCTTTTTGTGTGAGTGCGTGTATTGTATTTCACGTAGGTCTGTAATCGATTGAAATTTTATATGTAAGGAGTAGTGAAAATGTCAGTAATGTATAGTGCATGTTATTGTTCTGTCACCAATTTTCTGCCTACTCGTATTTTCGTGCAAATGATTTCAACTGAAATCGAAAGAATGTGTGTAACAAGATCCGGCATACAGGATTGTTTGCGAAGGTGTGACTTTCTCTCTTTTCAGAAGCTTCACTTTGAAGCGTTCAGCAATAGAGAAATCATACTCAGAGGTAAGTGCCACTGCCTCTGGCATCCTCCAGGTTTGAATTCACATTTTATTTTATCCCTCGCAAGGTAAGTTTTGATTTTAATTTGGCAACAACAGTGGAAAAATAAGTTATTTTGTTAAAGTGTTTCAGAGATTGTGGGTTCTTTTGCACAAGTACAGAAGCAGGATTATTTTATATTAAGCCCACTGGTGTTGTGTTGCTTGTTGGTGCTGAGGAAATGAACGTTTGAACAGATTGGAGCCTTGTAATAATTATGAAGGTTTTTCCAGAAAAAAATACCCCAATGAAAATGAGGCAAAGACACAGAAACTTATGCATGTTGCAGCAAGGAAGATGTTTTCTGTGAATCAGTCAAGAATTTGACTTTAATTAATAAATAAATTTGAATGGGACTATCCGCGTGGGATACGTGGCAGATAGAATGATCCCTGGTGTGCCACAGGTGTGACCAGTCATTACATTGTCGGTCTCTGCCTCCTGAAGCTTCAGGCGTGCCAAAAGCCTGTTGTGGATTGCTGCTTCGTGTGCTATCCTGGTCTCTTGGCACTTAGATTTTATTTTTAGTTCTCTGACAGTACAACTGCCACTTTTGTATAATAATTAAACAGAAGGAATGTGATGAATTCAAGAAATACTTTATAATCTTCCAGGCACTGCTGAAGATATCCTCAGCATTCCTGAACAGAAAAATTCCTAACATTCCAGACATCAAGGTTGAGGGTGGAGAGGAAAAATGGTAAGCTT